TACTAAAATGTCAATATCAAACTTAAAACATTCACCACACCTTATAAGGTAGAAGAGGGAAGAGCAGGGAGTGAAACCACACTGGGCTATAATGAAGCAGACATCCTAATGAAGGTAATACTTGTTCACATGTTTCTAGTGACTGACATTCAGTGAAGGGTAGGATGAAATGTTCTTAATACTTTTAAGAAAATAACTTTCAAAATAGCACTAGGCATTTTGTTATGTGACAGAGGAAAAAAAACACAGACCCTCCAAATCCCACCAGTTACATAACTGAGTGTTAAGAATGATTAAGTGTGCTTCCAGCCTCTATGCAGTTATATGTATGCCCAGGAATAATAGCAACAGTTACTCACTATATTTATTATGATTTTAATTAAACCCAATAGAAAAAGAATCAGAAGTGAAATTGTAGAAGCTGCTGATGTAGGATGCTGTCAGGCATTAGGATCACACTAAGAACCACTGTGTGAAAGTCAAGAAGCTGTGAAAAACTTAACATTGGTTATTAGGGCCTATCTTAGTCACTGTTCTATTGCAGGGAGAAACCATGACTAAGGGAACTTGTAAAAGGAAACATTTAATTAGGACTTGCTTACAGTTTCAGAGGTTTAATCTACTCTCATCATGGCAGGGAACACGACAGCAGGCATGGTGTTGGAACAGTGGCTGAGAGCACAGTTTTGAAACCTCAAAAACCATCCCCATTAACATACTTTCTTTAACAAGTCCACACCTCCTACTCCTTCTCAAGTAATGCCCATAACTGATGACTAAGCCTAGGGTAGCCATTCTTATTCAACCAGTGTTACCCAATTGTTTCACCACTGGGCTGTATATTCATGCCTTCTGGACTACAACTTTAGAATATTATGACTTAACATGACAGGAGAGCATACAGGATGATTTTAATACTAATGTCATTTCCCTCCACATGCTTCCATTTGTCAAAATTTCTAACATTTACCTTCTATTCTACAACTATGATTCAATTTCAGTGTCTTGGTTCTATCTTCATGGGTTCCGAACTTGCAATCATCTGTTTGCTGGAACTCTGTAGGAGAATCTCCTATTCATTCCTTTTCCTCCTAAATATCTACATTCAGGATTGCTGGACCTGCCAAATATGTCCCTTCTGTGGCTTTGACTTCCCCAGACTGCTCTAGCACCTCAGGAATGCCTAGTCACTCTATGCTGGAGTCCCAAAGGCAGTACAGGGAGTTTACCTCTACATGGTTTGGTAATTGTGCCAGCCCTTTTATCATTTTGGAAGCCCTCTATTACCAAGACTTGCCACCTGTTTCTTTACTAGGTGATACTTGGGTGAAAGGGTTAGAATTGAAGCGATGCTCGTGTAAGATCAGAATGAAGGGAAATCTATAGGGAATTCTCTTAATTAGTGGTTGATGGGGGAGGACCCAACCCATGGTGGGTGGTGCCATCTGTTCCTATAGGAAAGCAAACTGAGGAGCAAGCCAGTAAGCAGCACTCCTCCATGGCCTCTGCATCAGTTCCTGCCTCCAGTATGAGTTCCTACCCTCACTGTTTTTGATGATAAACTGTTATATGGAACTCTGGATGAAATAAGCCCTTTCCTTGCCAGGCTACTTTGGGTCATGGTATTTCATCACAGCAATAGTAGCCTTAAGACATTAACTAAAACATGGTTGTTATTCAAAATGTTTTAATGAGATGGGCACTGGTGGCACACACCTTTAATCCCAGCACTCTGGAGGCAGAGGCAGGCAGATCTCTGAGAGTTCAAGGCCAGCCCGGTCTACAGAACTAGTTCCAGGACAGCCAGTGCTGTTACACAGAGAAACCCTGCCTTGTAAAAATAATAGTTTGAGAGTCTTTATAGCAGGAGTGATCTTACTACTGTCACCCTACTACCAATGACAAGTCTAGCACATGGGAAGAAATGGGAGGAGACAATGGTATAGGACTCAGCAAAAACCTTTCTGGGGTAGGGCAATGGCTCCATGAGTAAAAGCACCTGACACCCAAGCATGAGGATCTGAGTTGAGACACCCAGCACCCACATAGTCATGTAAAGCAGCACATGCTTGTAACCTGAACATTCCTACAGCAAGATGGGAGGCAGAGACAGGAGGTTCCTGGAAGCTTGCAGGCCAGCTAGCCTGGCATATGAAGCAACAAACAAGAAAACCTGTTCACACAAGGTGGAAGGCAAGTACCAACACCTGAGATTCATGTGTAATGACATATAAACCACTGCATTCACACATACAAAAGTAAACGGGAAATTCTCAGGTCTTAAGCAATTAAGCATTTAAGAATTCAGACTTTTTTCCAGGACATTGTTCAATTTCCATATAAAATTATATATGTAAATTCGACTCACTACTTACTGATTCCTCATTCAGTTAATATTTAATGAGTTTCTACTGTTAACTAGGATGTTGGGTGCTGAAGATTATGGTGAACAAGATAGACATGGTCCCTGTTCCTACTGTATGGTTTATATTATTTTAGTTTTTAATGTGTCCTGGATTATGTGTATATTTTATGAATTTTTGACATAGCTTCTCACAGTACTCAGGCTGGCCTGAATTCACTATGTAACTCAGGCAGATTTCAAACTCCTGTCTCAGACTCCCAAGTGCTGGGATTACAGGTATGAAGCACCATACCTAGTATGTACTTTATTTATAAAGCAAGTATTTCTTTTTAGACTATCATTCTTTCTTTTTCTTTAAATTTTATTTATTCATTTTACATACCAACCACAGTTCCCCTTCCCTCCCCTCCCATGGGGAGTCAATGAAGTCTGGCACATCAAGTTGATACAGAACCAAGCCTCTTACACCTGCAGCAAGGCATCCACTATAGGGAATAGGCTCCAAAAATAGGCTATCAATCTTTTATCAATAATGTTTTCTGAATACTATTTTGCCAGATAAAAAGCTTTGGATTTTTATACAATGCCAAAAGTTTATCCAAATATGCTAAATTGGGAATAGGTTGTAAAATGAAATACTAAAATAACAATCCTATCATTCGGTGCTACAATAAATAAATAAAAACATCTAGAGTCAAGCTGTTTATCAGGCTTCGTTTCTATATACATGACCATTTTCCTTCTGAGACTACAGAAACCACAACAGTAGACAGGGCCTATGTGTCTCATCCTTTTTCTTGTTCATTGTTATGTGAAACACACACGCACAAATGCATACATGCATGCACTCATGCACACAGATGAGCCAATCACATGAATAATTACTACAATTTTATAACCGTCTACTAGAATATGGGAACAAATGAAATCAATTCATTAGAAACTAGGGACTGGACAGATGGCTCAGCAGTTAAGAGTACCAGCTGCTCTATGAGGGGACCTTGGTTCAATTCACAGCATTCAGCGGCATCACATAACCAACCACCTGTAACTCTAGTTCCAGGAGCTACAACATTCTATTCTGGCCTCTGTGGACAATGTATGATACACATGCAGTCAAAACCACCTTTACACATAAAATAATAAAATAAAAAATTAAGTTCAATGGATTAAGGATGTAGTTCAGCTGGCAGTCTTGTCTAACATGCATGAAACACTTTATAAAAACCATGAATGGTGGCAACATGCCTGTAGTCCCCAGCACTCTAGAAGTCATCAATGTCATCCTCAGCTATATACTGAGTTCCATAGTAGCCTGGGCTACATTAGACCCTGCTTCAAAAAAATTAAGGTAGGTTTATTTTAAGCACCCAGACAATGTAAACTTGCCATACTACCGCACACATAATTTTCTTCCTTACGCTCTGTTTCATTTATAGGAGGGTTAGAAAATCTGACTTCTAGAAGGGCACATATTTAAAAAAAAAAAGGATCAGGCCATCCATGCATCATCCAGTTCTCACTAAATCAAGACTCCAACTTCCCCTATCACTGACCCATTTAAGGAAGAATGGCCCTTGTATTAAAAAGAAAAATTAAATAAAAATTTAAAAAGGAAAATATGGAAAAACATACATCATTATGTGTTTTTCCAGTACTCAATATCAACGGGTATTGTCCAGGGTTATCAGTCTGATGAAAAAATTAAAAGAATGTTCTCACCAACTGCCAGGTAACAGCTTCAAGCAGAAAAAGCAACAATATTTTATTTTCTTACAAATAAACATTTCACAAAAATTTGACTAGGAATGTGTATGTACTTTTAAGCAGAAGGAAAGAAAAAAAAGAAGTTTCTGGACCTACAGATTGCATTTAATATCCCATCAATCCTACTTTACATGTAGCAAGTATGCAACACCTAGCAACTGAACCAAAGATAAGCCCTCTGTAAGATGTGTCTGTAAAATGTGTAATACCATAGTAGTAAAGTACAATGTTCAAATATGTAATTTTGTCTGTCAGATTTTAAAAGCCTTTAAAAATATAATATGCACAAGCTTGCCCTGAGGGGGAAAAAGATGGAATAGTGATTATAAAATCCTTACATATTTTCCACAATAGCATTTGAAACTAGAAAAGAGCAAATAGTCATGGGAATACCCAAGACACACATTACTAATAATTCAGTGCACCTGCCATGACCCGATAGAGAAGACCTCTTCTCTTCTCTAGGCTTCTTATATTTGATTATGAAATGGATGATGTACATAGGCCTTGATCTTCAGAAACTTCAGAAAACTTCAAGTTAGGAGCCAAAATGTCATCAGAAAAAGAAAAACCAGTATAAAATCTGCTACTGTAAGGCCACTGTTTAAAGTTATTTCATGTACAGACACTATATAATTCTGATACTTGTTCTTATAACATAAAGCTTTCAACATATAAATGTTTAGATAAACTTGATTAAATTCTCTCAGTGAAGCCATACTCAGAAAAAGATGCATCAACAAATAATGCCCCTCAAATAATCCTGCTGAGTGTTTTTTGCAAAAGAGCTTGTAGTTAAATACAACTTTGAAACTGAATATCATGATTAACAGTGATTGTTAAGTGTAAAAAAGTTGCAGCATTCCACTACTGAAAAATAAAGATATTTTATCAAGAAAGTTACAGTATTAGTGTCTTAGTGTCAATTCCAATTCCTGACCAAATGAGATGCTCAGTTACATCCTTAGTTAAGTCCTCATGTAGGGTCAGTTCCATGTGCAACAATTCCAGGTTGGTTTTCTGTGGCAATATTGGGCATTCCTATCAAGAGAAAACAAGAGAAATGTGGGCTTCAATAGAAGAGTCAGTTACAACATGTGAGCTAGAATTTGGCCCACAGTGCAGTTCTCAAAATGCTTTAATCTGTATAGTGCTAACTTGAACCTCACAATTCACACAAAGGAATGTAGAACCTCAAAGTTAACTTCAGAGTTTTTCAGGGAAAGCACTCTGGCCTTACTCAAGACTCAAACTTTTCCTCTCTAGTCCCCAGCCTGACACAACGGAGGCACACATGTGCAAACTAGCATGTTATCCTTTCCACTACTTCTTATTCCAAAACCACATGGACTTTTGTAATGAGTGATAATTGCAAAGAAAGCTTTTTGAAAACTTTCAGATAGTCAATGTAAAGACATGAGGTTTCAACAAATATGAGGAAAAAAAAAAAACCAAAAACAACTCACAAGAACAGGAAGATTATGATAAAAGTAACAAGTGTGGATTTTATATTGTGGTATGATGCAAAAACACTAAATAACCACAAACTTGATATAAAACTATGCAAATAATAAAACTAAAAATGGTAAAATAATATGTATTCAAAGACATTGAAAATAAAAATTATTTCAAATATATACTTACCTTTTAACTAGGCTCATACATTAAAACTGAAAAAAATGCAAAGGTATGTTTATTTTTAACATTCATATTAGAATGGAAATGTTTAATTCCAAATAAAAACAACACTGGTAGAAAAATCTTATTATTCCTTCTATCTTAGTTAAGGAAATGTTCAAAACATATGTATATACATTCTTCAACATTACTCATCTAAAAGTTGTAGATGGCATTGAACTTTATGCTTTATTAATTACATAATATAAAACCATATAATTCCATATTGAAATAAAATGTCACCAACAGGTTTGAAAAGAAATCTTAAGTACAATAATTTTAAAGAAAATTTCAACTGAAAAATCTTATTTTTAAAAGCATGCAATTCTTTGAATTACTTTCATCTTGATATAGTTTCTTAACTCTCAAACTGATCTCCCACTCCTCCAATGATTTGAAAGTTATTTTTAAGGCTAATACTGAACTAGGTTTTCCTTTCTTCTTCTCTCTCTCTCTCTCTTTTTTTTTTTTTTTTTTTTTTTTTTTTGGTTTGGTTTTTCAAGACAGGATTTCTCTGTATAACAGTTCTGGCTGTCAGGGAACTTACTATGTAGATAGGCTGAACTTGAACTCAAAAGAGATTCACCTGTCTCTACCTCCTGAGTGCTGGTATTAAATTCTTGCACCACCACCACCCAGCTAGGTTTTCTTGACAGCAGAGGATCACTGCAAATGCTGTCTTGCTGGTTTTACTGTCACTCATCCTAATTCCCTGGAACCCTGCTCCCCACTACTATCCAAAAGGCTATCCTAAAGCACTACCTTCCCTTTTTACCACACACAAAGGTATCCTGATGATGCCATTTCAAGAAATAAATCATGAGTAATTTGAAGCCCTGGGTATATTGTGTACTTCTTTCTCCTTAATCCCAGATGCTACTGACAAACATGGACCAGAGGTGCTCTTTCTGTACCTAGGTCTTCCCCAAGCCTCAGCTTATAACCTACCTCCTCTGGGAAGACAAGTGCCAGTGAAAGTACTTAGTGCACATCTCACCATTCCTGTCATGGACATCTTTCCCTTTAGAGAAGTTAAGCTCTTCAAAAATATGACAGCTCAAAGAGTTGACATAACAGGAGTTACTGCTATCCTTGGAAATGCCTGCTTTCAGGGCTGGCCTGTAGCTGACATTTCAGGGGGAGTCTGACTATTAACTGGTGAAAGCTCAAAGTGTAAATAACATGGTTTATGCTATTTCCTTCTGAGAACCCAAAATATGGATGTGTGTCCACTAAGGGGTGCCCAGATGATAAGCTCGTTGTAACACTGGGCACTGAGTCTCCAGTGAGCTCAGGCTTGCAACACTGCATACACATTATTATAACCAACTGCTGAAGGAATTATTCATACCCAGAGTGGCTCCATCTGGGAAAGACTCTCACAAATTTGCATGGAGTTTCCCCTCAATTTTTCCCTGTGTGCTGAGTTTTGCTGTGTATCCTTCCACTGTAACAAACCAATCACATATCAGTACAGTTAGATACTGAGTTGCCTTTGCAGACTATCAAACCCAGAAAAACTTGTATCCTGTAGTTTCTGCTCACTAACCTTTTGGAGCATATGTATGGTCTACATTCAATTCCATTAAAAAACACATTTTCTAAAGCCTGAGAATGACAAAAGGTAAAACAGGAGGATAGACTGATGAGACATGTTCTAGCCTTAGAAGAGGATCATTCGTTTCACAAATGAATAAAATAGAAATAATTTAGAGATCAAATGAAAGAGAAGTTAAAGGGATAGGGGGAGGCTTGGAAAAGTTTTCTAGTAGCTCTCAAGAAGGGGGAGCGTTTTATATTAAAGAATGGAAGCCAAGTTTGGTGGCATATGTCTGAAACTCTAGCATTTGAGAGGTAAAGCAGGATTAAAGTATAAGGGCATCCTGAACTACATAGCAAGGCCCTACCTCCAAAAGGGTGGGTGGCAACACTAGGGCTATTTCTACCTAAGAAAACAGTAGGCACAATGGAAACACACTTAAAAATGCAGACAGCTGTGGTGAAATGTGCCTGGAAAGGTAGCTTAGGCCTAGACCTGGCTAACAAGTTTGGTTTCTTTGTGTGAATAACAAGACACTTGTAAAGTATTTGTATATATGTGATATGGTAGAGTATGTTCAAGGACACTAACTATGTTAGTAGCCAAGAGACATGGAAAGCTCCTAAATGAAGATCAGTGATATCTAAGAATCTATCTTAAAATAAAGGAGGCATTTTCTTCCTTTTCTTCTTTTCTTCCTTCTTTCCTTCTTTTGTTTTGTTTTTGAGAAAAGGTTTCTCTGTGTAACAGTCCTGGCTGTCCTGGAACTCACTCTGTAGATCAGGCTGGTCTCAAACTCAGAGATCCACCTACCTCTGCCTCCTGAATGCTGGGATTAAAGATGTGCACTACTATGCCTGGCTTGATGAGGGAATTTTCAATGGGCAAGGAAAGGACAAGGTATTCAATAAATGATGTTATAAAACCACTAGTAGGAAATCAGATCTTAGTTTCATATTTTATCATAAAAATGTAATGGACTAAGTATGTTAATTATAAAACCACTCAGAGGATACAATAAAGAATTTTCCTACACATAATTCTGATACAAAAACTAAAAGCCATACTGGACAACTATGACAGATTCATGTCAGTCTCCAAAAAATTATATGATACATGAGGTAAGCATACACAGGTATCAAACATAAAGTGAATATTAGCAAAATATTTGATAGGGTAAAACTTCAGTGAATCAAGAACACGAAGAAAAGCCAGGCCTGATGGCACACAACTTTAATCCCAGCACAAGGGGACAGAAGCAGAGGTGTGTGGATCTCTGGGAATTCCCAGCCTGATCTATAAAGCAATTTCAGGACAGTCAAGGGTATTAAAAAAAAAGAAAGAAAAGAAAAAAAGGAAACAGATACATAAATAAGCTAAAAGCAAGTCATAAAAATCACTTGCTGATATTAGGCTGAAAGCTGTTGACATTTCACACTAACTAGGGTATAGACTCTATACTATATACACTTTCATGTATTCTGGGTACTAGTACAAATGAATAAAAGGAGAATTACTGGCAAGATACCAAAATGTCCATGTGCCTAAATGTTGATTCTGAAAAAAAAATGAGTACCTCTATGCTACCCTCAAGTCATCAAAGGCTTGCAAACACAAGTTAGAATCTTAAAACTACACTACACATACCTTCAACAGTATACAATGACTTTCCAAGTAGCAGTGTGGTCTCCAGACACTTTGAGCAGATTCATTTGTAGATCTTTAAGTTTCTGATGTTCTCTTTCTAAAATTCTTCACTTTGGTAAGGCTGGTTCCATTCCTTCTACATTTAAAGGGTTAAACTCTCGCACTTTTACAACTGAATTTAAGTTTCAGTTCTCCAAAGACAACAGGTGTCTTTTCCAACAAAGGGCCATTTATCTACAAGGCCTCTAAAGAGGGCCTACGTTGGCCTCACAGTCTCTTAAGGATAATCCAAGCAGCCCCCTTCTGGGACACATCCAAGCTTGTGCAGATGTGTCCAAAAATGAGAAGACTAAAACTCAGCCAATTAAAAATATACTAATGTCACTACTGCTTGCTTAACCAATTAAGTTTATGATGACTAATTATACCTAAAATTCCTCTTAGCTATACTTAAAAGGAGCCTATACATTCCTCTCAGGGCTTGTCACCATTTTTTTCAGGTGAGCAAACCCACATACATATGGTATAATACATGCTCTTTGCTGCTATATACTATTTGAGTCAAGGGTTTTCATTCAGTGTTTCCTCAGACCCTATACATTCTCATTTTGAATCTATTTCTTGTCTTGAATCATGTATTATTCTTCCCCTCTCTTTCCTGCTTCCAAGCCCTCACATTTACTTTTGCCACACTCTTTCAAATTTATGTTTTTTTAAAAAGTTTTTGTTATTGGGGCTGGAGAGATGGCTCAGTGGTTAAGAGCACTGTCTGCACTTCCAATGGTTCTGAGTTCAATTCCCAGTGACCACATGGTGGCTCACAACCATCTATAATGAGATCTGGTACCCTCTTCTAGCCTGCAGGCATACATGCAGACAGAACACTTTATACATAATACATCTTTAAAAATATGTTTTAAAAATTATTGTTACAGATATATTTTTGTGTGTATATATACAAATTCTAAATATAAATATAATCTATTATATATATGTGAATACAGGTACCTATATAACATGGCACACATATGAAGGTCAAAGGACACATTCAGGTATTGGTTCTTCTTTTTCACCTTCTTTGAAGGTACTAGAAAAGCCAGTACCATACAGTGAGACCCTATCTCAAGATAAACAAAAAATTGGTTTTGCTAGGTGGTGATGGTACTCTCCTTTAATA